CGCAATGGGTGCGCTTTTGTGAAGAGGGCGCCACCGAATTTTGAGGACACTTTTTTAATTGGCTCAAAGAGAGAAGTGGCCTCTCTTGTTATGTAGACTCTTTGCTGTGACGTAGGCCATATAATAATATGCGTATACAAAATGTGTGTGAGAAGCGGGAAGTGTTGTGAACAATCCCATTTTCCCCGTGACAGCGATTTAGAGTATGTTATTGTTATATAGATTTATGAAGCCTCAGTTGTTCTGGAAAAATATTATTATATTAAAACAAATTGATACAAAATGCTTTGCAAAGTATGGATAACATTGATTAACTCGTTAAGAGATATTCGAGGATAAGTTGCGCTCGAATTTTTTTGACGCACTATTATATAAGTAAACTCCTGTTTCTGATGTTTGTGTGTTCTGGTTTGAAATGTGTCAAAGCATTGCCTTTTATGAGCTGCCTATCGGAAGTATGTCTCCGCTACGTCCTAAAAGACTTAATTTAACGTTCCCCAACAAACAATAGAAGGCCAAAAGTGTCTGTGTGGAAAATGTTCCAAAAGTGTGACAGAGACTCAACGATAACCATTCTCCGATTGAGAATCAAAGTCATGCTATAGAAACTGGATGCCTAATTAGATTTGGTGACCGCACATAGATCATAAAAAGTTTCAACCCCCCTCCCCTCCCCCCCCCCCCAAAAAAAAGCATACCCAATGTATGTTGTGGGGGTTTTTTTTAAAGATATCAAATAAGTTGTATTTTATTTATTTAATAAGATATTAAATTGTAGAAATTTCATGAATTGAAAAAAAAAAGAATTGTTTGTATTTTTATGTAACCCAAGTAGATTGCTCTTGGTCTGCCCCTGTTTCGTTTCCCTTCAGTTTTGCCAGTGAGCTGTAGCTGATGCTTAAGATCGTTATGCCTCGTCACGTATCTCATAAACTACATCAAATTGTTTTTTTCTTGATTGTTTTTATCTAAGAGCGACCCACGTGGGCTTCTTCAAGAACTGCTTCATTTAATCTGTTCCTTCTGAGAAGTTTCCAGCAGTCTCCTAAGAAACAAAATTTTGATTGCTTCTATTTCATTTTCACTGTCTTTAGTGATTTCTCAGCATTAACGGCATATAGAAGGGTTGACCACATAATAGCCTATAGCCTTTCAGTACTTTCAGTTTGGACCAAGATGTTTCTGTTTTTCGGGACTGCGCTCTTTCTTAAAACGTTATCTTTAGCCTTGCAATTCTTCGTTGCATTTCTGTGAAACATTTGTCATGGGATGTGATTTTTATTCTATTACAGCACAATAAAAAATATTAATTATAGATCTAGGCCTACTATTTTGTTGTTGTTTTTTTTGGGGTTAAAATGGGTAAGCAGTATCTCTGCGAGTTAAATACAAGTACCAGTATTTTATTGTCACTGGTCATAAGAGTTTTGTGTGTATGAGTCTTTGATTCTAAAATCACAATTTGTATCGAAAGATCTCCACAATAAATTCTTATCACGTGACCCTAAATTCTTGGGCAACAGTTCAAGGGACACTACTCCTAATCGATATGAATTGTTGTTCTATTCACAATTGATTACTCCCCTTAACCCATATGTTGGAACAATGGAACAAGGGCTGAAAACCTAATTTGTACGAAAAGATTAATTTCAATAATAATGTTATTAAAAATATTATTATTATTATGCGACCTTAACTCGTAAGGACAAAAATCGAAGGGACACTACTTCTAATAGATACAAAATCATACTGTTTACAAAGGATTAATTCCCTTAGACACTCTGTCGAAACAATGGTATTATGTGTTCTAATTTTAAAGGACTTCAAAGCCTTAGTCACAACCCGAACAACAGCAGCAGCAGCCCACTCACTCTTCTGCC